TGATGATCTCAGAGGTCTTTTCCAACCGGGTGATTCTGTGTGACATCTAAGTGACTCATCTGCTATTTCAACAGAGAATCTAAACCAAAAACTGTAACAGAGCGGGGACTTTACTGCTAAGTGTGATCTCTAACTGTGCACTGTTATTTTATTTCCTTCTTTTGCAACTGGATCTTCAGTTCTGTAAGCAAGAACTTCATGCTTTGTTTACCAGGATGCATTCTGCTTTTCTTTCAGATTGTTCCTTTAAAAGGGATTGAAAGTAACTCCAGTACACACAAGACATACTGCTTTTGAAGAAAAAAACATCTAAAGAATACTATGGACAAAACTTGTGGATGCATGCAATAAGCTCAGGAGGTTCAAAAAAGAAGTGGGATTCCCGCTGCAGTGTCCTAAGAACAGTGTGGGGTCTGACACAGAAGTGTCACCCCTGGCAGGTACAAGCCAGTGCCATTCTTCAAAAGCAGCAAACAGCAGAGATATAAGATCTAATCTGAAGAAATACCAGTCTCACACTTCTGTATTCTTCTGTATCTGTTGGGTTGGTTCAAACTGCCAGTGCATTTACCTGCTGAGAATGGTAAGAAGGCTTCTCGAGGTACAAAGTTTCCTTCTTTATCCAGGAAATGGCCAGGGTTGAACTGTCGAGGTGTCTCCCATTGCTCAGGGTCGTACAGAACAGATCCTATATTTGGGACAATGATGGTGTCCTGCAAGGAAGAAACTTTTGATTCAGATTTGTCTACCAGTCCCTCACCCATCAGTTTCTGCCTGATGGATAAGACTGCTGCTTGTTGCCATTTCTTTGTAATGAGCAGGTATGATGTGGTTAGAAGACCATTTTCCTAGAAAATTGGAGTGTATGGTCATTTTCATAGTTGGAAATTATCAGTTCTCAGTCCTGCATCTATGTCAGTGGGTATCAACAGCATTAGTGACATTAGCCCAACTGCACTGTGATCACTATTAGTCTTAACACTTCTAGTAGGACTCTTTTGTTGATATTCAGGTCCCAGCATTGGAAACCTCTCAGGCTTAAGAGAGAGAGAAATCCATCCAGAAATAACTGCCATACTTCACTGACAACAACCTCTCAGCCCTTTTAGCAGTAGTACTTCAGGCTTTTTCTTTACTGGTTGCTCCCAGCAGAGCCGTTCATGTGCCTCAGCTGCCTGGCTGTCAGAAGCAGACAGAACAGAGAGAAACCTTCACCACAAAATGCGTTAGGTGAGGCCAATCCCAAATGCCAGTAACGGTGCTGGCCTCTCCCATCTCTCTTGCAATAAATTCCTGGAGCCACAAATGGTAACCATGTTCCTGGGTTTTATGGAGAATAGTTTATGGGTGGAAGATGGGTGACAAAACTGGAATAAAAGCTACGTGTCTCTCTGCTGAAGAAAGGAGACTGCTAATGTGTCTGTACCTTTTTGATGGGGTATCCCAACAATGTCGTGTCCCTCACAGATACTCTGGGCAGACCTACAAAGAGAATGTTGCTGAAGCGTTGGATCTCATGAACCACAGCATTGGTATAGGGCAGTTTTCTCCGATCCTCATAGCAAATTAACTTGGAAGGACCCAAAACAGCATCCAGCTCCTTCTGCACTTTCTCTGTGGAGAAATAGTCACCATTCAGATGGGAAAAATTCATAAAATATTTAAACTGGTCTCTTTTCTTAGAGCAACAGGAAAAGGTATTATTTCAACATAGAGCATAAAGTCTGTAACCTGTGATTTAATATGATTTAATGTTTAAGTTTAATATATGAAAATAAAAATAAACAGAAAAAACCCCCAGCAGAGTGGCCCAGAATCCTAAGCAAAGACTACACTCTACTCACTCCAGCTCTGACATTTATCTTACAGAATGCTTGGTGGATGTTGGGCGGTTCACTCAGCTCCAGATTTTGAAGGTATTTAGGGATTGCTTAATTTTCTTTATCTCAAAATCTAAATCTTACTTGCAAAATTGACATAAATGCCTCTGATATTAACTCCCCATGCAAGGGATGAGTTGAGAAGAGTTTATCCAAGTATGGCAATGTGCTGTATGAACAAACAACACCTGAATCAGTCTAAAAACTTGGATGCAAATATGCACTCAATGACACGGTCTTTTCAGCCTCCTGCTGAGGATCCAGGAATTCAGGTATCTCCCTTTGCTTTCAGTGTTTATGCACAGCACATGGAAGAGCCACCAGTCCCATGAGTACCCAAATTATCCTTAAACCCTGGCCATATCCTTTCTCTTCCTGCCGTAGATGTGGATGAGGAAGCTCAGTCTGGATCTACAAAGGCATTACTGGAATTGGTGTCAATCAGATAAGCAACCTCTTCTGCAATATTAACTGGGACAGGGCCAGTTTGTGTGTGCCGCCAGCAGTTCATGCCTGTAAACACCACCTCTGTGTATCACGCAGCCGGAATCCTCCCCTTAAACTTTTCTTTCTACAGTCTTTCCATCCCTTGCAGATGCTCCACATTCATGCTTTGCTTTCTCCTGAGGTTTGTGTGCTGATTTGTGAACAAACTGCAGCAAACATTGCTGGTTATTTAAAGACTAGATGCTAAGCATCAGCTGTTTACACACAGAATATGCTCTACTGAAACCTGGAGGCCACCTCTGAGTAACTCATATTTCACGGATGCCCATTGCCTAGCCTTGTGCTTTTGCTTCAGCAAAGTCCGAAAAGAGTCACTGCATTCTTCAGGGAAGTGTATGGATCTGCGCTGTGCAAATTATCTTGCATCTCTCTACATGTTTCCTGACAAGAAAGACAGAGAAAGAGGCAGCCGTCTCTACCAGGAATCATGGGCCTTCCTTAGGGCAACCTGAAGACCTTTACAGCCTGCCAAGATCTGCCCAGTTGTTTCGTCCAGTGAGGGATCCAGTGTGTTGCTGGCAGCACTGGTGTGCTCAGCAAGGAGTGTTGTGCCAAAAAGGAAGAGAGCACGGACTGACTGTGTGGCAGCTCCTCATACCTGGATGATGTCTGGTGCAGACAGGACTCGTATCAGAGCTCTGATCTCTGTTGCTGCTTGTGTCAGTCAGCCTGCAAAGTCTGCACACAGAACACCCCACTGACATGTTAATGCAAAGAGATAACTTCTGTCTCTACCACGTGTGCCTTCAGCCACCTGGTTTGGCCAGGCCATAGGATAGGCCTCCGATATTTTCCTCTGCTACTGTTTTCTTTGTGTTTTCAGAGAGCGAGAGCCAGGCTCAACTTGCGGCTTTTGTGCCTGCAACTCATTTTATTCACCCGTCATTAATGATTGTAGTACCCACAGTATTTCACAGCAAGAATCCCTCTCACCTTGGATGTCTGGATTCACTACCATATAAAGCAGTGCCCAGTACAATGTTGTGCTTGTGGTCTCTGATCCACCGAGGAAAAGATCATTTATAACATGTACCAAATTTTCTTCATCATACTTGGGTGTGACCTCATCTTTAGACTGTAAATGATGATAAAAAGTTGAATTATTGTTTTTAATTAATTAATTAAATTAATTAAATGTAATAATTTAGCTCCAGGAAGTATCTCAAAATGACAACATTTGAAGAAGAAATTCTGGTGCTCTTAGCAGAGCTTCTCTGGCTCATTAATTGCTTCCTGCTATGGAAAATAATAGCCTGGGTAGAGAAAAAGTTTAACAGCTTATTATGGCATTGCCCTTCCATTTGAATGTAGGTGCCAAGCCAACCATGTCCCAGCTGTGGGGAAATTAGACATTACAGAGGGAGAACAGGCTTGGGACCCCCGAATGTATCCCATTTAGGACCTACTGATGACAGCATCCATCTGCCAAGAAAGCTGATGGGTGTCATGCATAAAATACCTATTCCAGGGCTGGTGAAATTATCAAGTAGGAAGTTGTTACTGCTGAAAGGGACTGGGCCGGGGGAAGAAAGGACTGCTCTCTTCCACGTGAGGAACCACACTGTTGTGCGGCACAGGGACAGCCTATGCAAGGACGCACACTGAAACCCAAAGAAGCACGTCAGCTATTTCAGGGTGGTTATCTATGCAAGTGTAATTAATCCTGTGATAAACATGAGGTACTCTTCTGTAGGAGGCGAGTAAAAGTTATGTAACCTACAGGCATAAACTGTCTCATAATTACTACAGGACTGAGGTATCCACATGGATATTTATGGAAAGTAGATGATAGCTCATGAGTTCACACCCTAAGATACTTTGGGAGACATGAGTTAGTAAGTCCCAAGCTACCATATTCACTTTAAGAAGCCTATGAGATGTAAGAAACTATGATAAAAGGGATCGGACTGGATGATTTAATGGTCTATTTGGCCTTACACTCCATAGATGTGTGATCAGACAGAGCCACCACTTACTTTCTCCATCTCAGCCAGGTAGAAGTCAATGAAGTCCTGTGGTTCATCTGGTAGCCCTCTCTCTATGTGTCTTCTGATCTCCTTCCTTGCAAAAGAACTCAGGACATCATAGCAAGATAAGGCTTTCCTGTGAGGCCCAGGGAGATGGTGTATCAACCAAGGGAGGATTTCATACAGCTGCGGGAGTGACATACAAGAGGTAGTGTGAATTATCTGTCAGTAACAAAGCTGCTTTTAGAAATGCCAGAAGGCTGAATTGTCCTGTCTGGAAATGCTGACAGTGGAATAAATAAATTACCATTGCTTTGAGTAGATTTTTGCCATCATGTGAGAAAACTTCACTAGTAATCTTGACACACTTCTGGGGACAAGGCAGTACTGACAACACTCTGCTCGTGCCAGTAAGTTTACCTGGCTAATGTAGATCACTACAAGACCTTACTTCTGCACCACAGGAGACCGTAACTCCCACCCACTCAAAATGTAAGGACATCCTTTCTGGATACTGTGTGGCTACTAAAATTAATAAGTCTGCAGCCTCAGGTAACTGCTGGAATTAGTGGAGCTCACAGAAGGGAAGTGTAGACTGGGTATCACTCTTAAGAGCTAATTTAATTTTCCCCAGTAGAGTCCTTGTGGACAAGGACCAATAATTGCTCTGATGGTTAGAAATATTACAACTTCAGTCTGCTGAGTGTATTTACACATGTTTGTCAGCTCAAAGTATTGTCCTCTATCTCAGATAGTTCTCCCTTTGCAATATCTGCCATTCCTCCCTGGCAAGCAAACAGCATTTCTGTCTCCTCTCTTTGTTCTTTCAGACCTAACAAGTGAAGTCTCTAATTTCAGCTGGTAGTTGGTAGGTCATCACATTAACACTTCTCTACATTTGTTTCGCTCCATACTCACAACATAAGGTGTCCAAAACCCCAGAATATGTCCTACAGTTTAGTACACACCAGAATCTACTTTAACTTTTCTCTGGCTCTAAAGGGAAAATAGTGCTGGAAAGACTCTAAGATTCTGTAATGGAAAGATTCATAATGAGTATTTTATTATTTGTGAGGGAGGAAATAATTGAAAATGGTCAGCATTGAATTTGCAGAGTAGAAAAAAACAGAACAACAAATTCAATGATACACATTTTTGGAGAAGTAAATGGAGGTGGGAGGAGCAGCACTGCAGAGTTCAAAATTATTACAAACTCCAGTCTCAGATTAAGTTTAAAAGTTTCTGTGAGCAGTCTCAGAAATGCTGAAAGACTTAAACCCAGGAGCCAACACAGTCATCCCCTAAACTTGCAAAGAAACAAGAGAGTTCTTAAAAATGGCCTAAAAACCAAGGGGGCAGCAATAAGATCTCTAAGGACACCTCTTCAATCCCAGATTGCATTTGCCAGTTGCTCTGTATTTAATAAAGTCACATTTTTGTATCTGCACTTTCATTTTCTACCTATTTCAGAAAAAAAAAATCAATGTATTATTTACTCACCCGATAAACAAAGCTGCCTACAAATCTGAATATGTTCTCTGTGGCACTGATCAGCTCATGAAAGGTTTTGTCCTCATCAGAGAAGTGATATCCAAAAACCAGAGCACAAATTACATTTGAGATAGAATGGAAAAGAGGGAAAGAAGGATCCACCGGTCTTCCTGCAAACACAGTAAGTGGTACTCACTCTCAATGGTTTCTTCAGGTGTTCTTTATACAGATAGGACAAGATGGTGTTAGAGATTACAGAAAATGTTCTGTTTACCCAGCTGGGTCATGAATGGGAACAAATACGTGGCATTAACGTGTGTATTCATGAAAATAAAACATAGTCTTACAGCAAGGGACACTGTTAAACTGTTTTCTTACAGCTCTAAAACAATCTCATAGCCCTTCCTGTGAAATAACATTGTACAACTAAGATCCATTAGAGGATATCGTACTAAAGCTGCTGTCCTCAGCTGTGTGGAATAAGACGAATCAGAATTTGAGAAGGAAGAAATACCAGTGGAGATGAGCTAAGAGAAGACAGTGACAGACGTGTTCAGAAATGTAAAATACTACTTAAGAGAAAAGACTGAAGGAATTTGGGAAGGTTCAAGAAGCAGAAAAGGTGGATAGGAACTGCAAAGTATACATAAAATCATTGGAGTCTCAGCTATGAACAGATCATCCTATCTCTGATTTTTTTTTTAAGTTACGAGATGGACATCGATCAAAAAGAATTTGGATAGAAAATATCCTGGCTTTGACTCTAGGATGAACCTGATAATTCACTGAAGTCCCCTCCCACCTCCTACTTTCTTTGATTCTCTTTCCAATAGTTACTTAGCCAGACAGGCACTAAAATATCCACTTTACCTCATGGCACCCAATGTCATCGAAATCCAGGGATTCAGAGAAATGACTGAGCTCTGCAGTACTCTTTAGTTACCTGTTGTAGGCAGTGTGAGAATGGCTTGGCTGTGCAGTTCAGTGACATCGTATCGTTGTACAACCATATCAAATGATTGAACAAGCCCATGGAGGTGGAGTTTCAGAAGTTCCCAACTTCATTATGTTTATGTAAGAAAGAAATGCCCACTTGTGATACTACGCTCTATCTGCTCTTTGGGCTTCGCTAAGTTTGGATACGCCACTCTGGACCTACCCCAAGCCTAGAAAGGGGTAGCATACTGCAGATATGCCTCCAGGACTGAAAAGTGTCAGATTTCTTAGCAGATAAATACCTTTCAGATTTACAAAGAGCTCCACCAGGTGAGAGGCCTCATCTTGCACTCGATGCTCCAGGACTTTTTTGCCCATTCCCAGTTTGCGTAGAGTCATTATACCAAAGCGTCTCTGCTGCTTCCAGGAGTGGCCACTTGCCAGTATAATACCTGAGGGTGTTCCTTGGCATATTAATATTTGCCATAGACATAAATGATTAATTTAAAAATATATTATGAAATTATGGAGTAAACCAGGGAATTCATGATACTTTAGGAGAAATTATCGGTAACCAGAATTGTAGCCAAACATACCCAAACTATAAGTAGATCACATGTTCCTAATATTGTTTGTAATTAATCTTTGAAAAGAGCAATTTAAGGATTTGCTGACTGCTCCATTTCTTGATGTCTTAAAAAACAAAACAAAACAAAACCTTAAGATGCCTTTTTAAATTATCTGCTTTAGTCATACTCAAGTGATCATGCTCAAGACAGAAATAAGATTTCTCCAGAGTGGTGTACAGAGACTGGGTATGTTTAGGGAGATACAGATCAGTTAATGTGATGCTTATAGATTGAGGTGATGAGGGTGAAGGAAAAGTGACGTTCAGGCCCTGTTTCTCCCCTGTGGAAGGGAGACCACTCCACTGTGGTTACCTGAAGAGCCTCAAACTGCTGCTGTGATGGTGATGCTTTACCTCGCTTTAAACCATCTGTGTTTGCTTTGATATAGCAAATGCAGGGGAGGAAAATCAAAGACTGCAAACTGCTAAAATACACTAAGGAGAAGTGGTGTTTTGTGTGTGAGAGGCACTCTCAGAGTCAAAGGGTATTTGCCAAACGTTTAAGAGTGACTGCAAACACAGCAATGAGCCTTCTGAGGGAAGGTGTTATAGGTCTCTTGCTCATGAGGGAAGGTGTTTGGCAACTATGATATAGTTACCAAGCATATAAACAAGCTTTGCCTTCATGCATGTTCAGCAAATTGGATTATTCTGTGAGGAGGGCAAGACTGCTGAGCCGGGATCACTTACATCTTGAACACAGCAAAAAAGTCACCTAGAAACAACCTGATTTGGAGTGTTTCCCTGGCTTGGGAAAAGGCACAAAAGTACAAAAGGCATCACGACAAATGGTAAGTTATTCTCAAGAGCTAATGGAGGACTTGGACATTATCTGATGGAAGAGCATTCTTAACTGTCTAACAAGGAGGAGTAGTTTGCCAGGTCAACATTGCTGTGCACACCTTTTCCTTTGGCCATTTCTTTGAGGAAAGGAGTTATCTTCCTCCCAGAAACGTCTTCAGGGTGTGTAGTCATGCCATCCTTCACTGCTTGGTATCCATTCAGTATGACCAATGGCATCGACCCATACCACAAAGTATAGATGTTACCGTGAGTTTTTGCCAGCTGTAAGTGGGAAAGGTGCCAGAAAAGAACAGGTGAAACATCATACACCAGAGTTACATCCAATTGATCGCACTACTCACTTGCTTTTCCTTATAATTCTTTGGATACTGGCTTTCCTCTCCCTGTTACAGCATCGCTGTAATAGATCTGAATTAGCAAAGTCTGCAGACCATTAAAATTACTCCAGGGTACAGCGAGAGGCTGAGATGACCTGGGGAGGAGCAGCTGCCTCTAAAACCAAGTGCCAAAGAAATAGCTTTAAGGAGATGTTGGAAGATGGGGTGTGTATGCCCTTTCCATATTACAAGCATACACACACATGCACCGTATCATTCATGATCAAATTAGACAATGCCAGTGCCTCGGAATTTTAAAAAGTAACATATACAGACTTATCAGCAATGGAGAATCATCTTTGTGATTTTTGGTATTCTCCAACTTTAATAACAAGTCAGAAACCCTGTCCTCAAGTTTATTTGATTCTTAATGACACTAAGTTTCTTGTGAGGATGACAAGGTGAGCTGAATGTAGTAATCAAGTTGATCTTTATAAGTCCATACCTTGACTGTAACTTTCTAAGACTTAAAAACTTTACTTTGCTATTAACATATCAGTTTTGTTTAAACTGTGACTAAAATTAAGCCATTAAGAGTATCTTAAATTAAATACCTCCATCAGAAGATCCCGATGAAACTGGAAGTAGGTGTGCATCAAGTTTCCGAGCAATGGGAGAGGAGTTGGTCCAGGAGGGAGTTGCTTGCGTGCCTTTTGCAGTTTGAAAAACTCAACAATTATCAAAAAAATTATCAGAACTACAAAACCCTGACTTACTGTCAGCATTTCAGATTGATCAGCTTGTCTCTATCAAGAAGAAAGTATTGGAGGTTGTAAAAGTTGATCTTCCTTCTTGTTCTGCCAGTTCTCTCTGCAGACTGAGCTCCGTATCGTCTTGGTTCCTTTCCCTCCCTCTGTCCCTCCCTCTTTACCACCTACCCTTGTCCTGCACCCCATACTTTTCCCATACCAAGACACATAGAGCTGGCCAGGGGCACACCTCACCAGTTACAGCAACCCACGCTGTGAAAACATGGGATTGCTGGTGCCCAAGGTGTTTGTCCTGAAGCCTGTGTGAGGAAACAGCTGGTGTGTATTGGGAGATCTGGATCGAAACGACATCGGGTGAGAGCCCTTGTTGACCTCTGGATACGAGATGAGTGCAAGTCAGTTTCATTCACCTTGGGAATTTTAAAAACATACATAGTTGTTCACCTAAAAATCACCAAATTCAGATTCTGAGAGTTACATGTCAGGATGTAAACAATAGGTTTGGTTTTCCAGATGCTTTAGTCACAAACATTATTTAATTTATCTTTACATGTGGTTGTAAATTCAGATTTGTCTGCCAGTACACACAGTTCACACAGGCAAAACCAATAGCAGTTGCAGAGTAGGCATGCAATTAGAAGACAAAACTGTTACATGTAATTTCTGAAAATTGGCCTTGAGTGTTCAGTCAAATTGTTTTTCCCACTAAATGGAAAAAATACCAGTTCAATCAAGTGAGGATCAATAACATGGACATATTGCTTAAAGACTCACATTACAATTAAATCATTAAAAGATCAGAATATTAAAGTTTATTATATTTAAAAATTAACTAAATATAGAATTCCACTCAATTATTTTAGTTGCTTTTGTTTTTATGTAACCTAATTGAAGGCTCCATAATAGGTTTGAGGCCCTGGATCTTG